TTTTGAGAAGCAGGTCGACGATGGGGATGAATCCGTGCTCGCAGGCGAGGTTCAGTGGGACATGATCGGTATCCGATACGGGGTTGAGTCTCGCTCCCTTCTCGATCAGCCGTTGGACGCACTCGTAGTGGCCATGTAAGATGGTGTGGATGAGCGGAGTAAAGTTGTCGTGGTCGATGAGGTTGATGGTTTGTGGTGCCACTGTATCGTCAGTAGTGTTAGAGTTATTGGGAGACAACAACATACCAGCCAGTAGGGCGTCAATCATGTCGAGCCGGCCATGGACACTGGCGTAGTGTAGAGGCGTACGACCATAGACGTCTGTTCGTTCGACAGCAACGCCCTTGGATAGGCCGTACTGGAGAACAAAAGAGTTGCCGTAGATGGCGGCCTGGTGAAGACAGTTCCGCTCATTGATGTCGTCTTCCGACTGGATATCCACCAGACCAGTCTCGAGCAGCACCTGAAGCGTCTCCAGGGGACCCTCATTGATGGACGCAAGAAAAGTCCGCGTGACTCGTTCCATCAACGAAATATCCATGGCGCTGTTGGGCTCTGCTGCTGCCCGCATTCTTCCGAGCAGGTCGCGAAGTTGTTCAAGTCCTCCCGAAAGCACAGTTTCGAGAAGCAGCGTGTCGGCATCCCCCTCGTCAGTGCCGAGCAGATTCTGACTGCTGACAATGTGGTCAGGCCGGCTTTCAAAGTTCACACTGTCGCCGTCGGCCCAGGCGCCGAGCTCTTGCAGACTCGTTGTGGCCTGGTCGGACAATTCGCTAATGACAGTGGCGTTGAAAAATGGCTGCACCTCAACAGCTCTCGACAGATACAGCTCCTTGGTTTTGGATTTTGACGTCTTGTCCCATTTCTTTAGAATCTTGGAGAAGGCGGTGCCGTTGATCTCGACAAACTGCTGCAGCTTGTTGATGTCGTTGGCAAACTGTTGAAACCCCTCCTGCAGCGTCGTGAACTTGGCAGACCGTCTGGATATGCCATGATTCCGGGACCGCAAGACCTTCTTCTTGTCAAGAAGGGTCTTGAGGCGGATTTTGAGCTATCGATACAAAGTTAGACACAGAATACGACAAAAAAACAAAAACACCTACCTCTGCCTCCTTTTGAAGGTAGAAGGCATTGACCTTTTCGAGTTCTCGTTCCTGCTACCGTCAGCATAACCCAGAAATTTAAGAGAAACCACAAACCAGCTGGAAGAAAAAGGTGGCCTTGTTAGCCTGTAGAGCCGCTTGCGAGTCAGGGAGCTCTAGAGACCGAAAGGCATCATCTTGAGAGGGAATGACGGGTGTGGCCGAGAGTTTTTTGATGAGCTATACCGTTAGCTTTGTTTTTTTAGAGACATCCTCAGAAGAGTCACCTTTTTCAAGGCTTTATAGTTGACAAAGCTGGCGGCATACTCGGGCACCTCGAGCTGGCGCTTCTGGATTTGTTTACCGAACTTCCTGCAGCCGTGGTCAGCACGGGGGAGCACGCGGGGGTTCGGTCATAAAAACAAGAAAGCAAAGACTTACATGGTGAAGTGTGGAGGCCAATGGCGGCCTGGCACGCACAGCTCCAATCAAAGTCTGGCACAGGAGTGGCTAATGATGGCTAATGCCTCAATAGCACGCACATGCACACTTGCGGCTGTTCCTGGTGAGACTGACGGGCTCGCTGTGAGGGAACTGCAGACAGTAAGAGGCTATCCATGGACCGTAGCACGTGGATATAAGACTTGGGGCGGAACCAAACAGCGTACGTTGTGGTACCACTCTCTTGATGGTTGTGGGTGAGAGTATATAACCCTGGAAATGAAGGAGAATGAGAATGGGGGGCAGCAAAGACGGACAAAATTGTTGCTCTCGATATGTTGACCACTTCCAAGCAGGCAACAGAAAAAGATGACGAGGTCATAGAGTCGGAGTAGAGAAAGAACAAGGCGCACTTACATGGTGACGGTGGGCGGCAGGTGATGGATGTCTCGCGGCCTGGGTGGGGGTCAGGGGTGCGCAGCAACAACAGGCTCTGGCCGCGGCACTTTTGTATTTGACACACACACGATGGGGGTTCCGTTCGGTCAACGACCCCTGGCTGTGATGTGCCGTTTTCCGCCGTCCAGGCCGTCTCGGAGACGCCCGGGTCGGAAGAGGAGAAGCTGCTGCGACAGCAGGTTGCTAAGTAGGTGGAACCTGGTTTGGAATATGGAGTCTGGAACGCAACGGCCTGTGTAGGCTGATACTGATAGCGATAGCAGCGGCTGAGGGGGCGTCGAGGGGCAGAAATGCAAGACCCTACGCCCGTGACAGAAACACCTAAAAGTCGGCACGCTGAGACCAAGCAGCTTAGTAGATAGGCAACGCTGACGTCCGCTTTCTGCTGCGTCCGGGATGTCCAAATCGGGGGTCCCACGGCCGGTCAGGGCTGCTCAAGCAGACGGGAAAAACGACGGGTCAAGTATCCGCCCTGTTGGGTTTGCCCTCACGAGACCTGAAAAACGCAGACGTCGAGCATCTGCTGTCCGTTCAGCGCAGACCAATAGGATACCGCAAATCACCCATGTGCTCTCTTCACTCGATGCGCAAGGCTGACGACAGCCCAGCACAGTTGCCAGTTCCGCTAGTTAGACTGCCCCGCATCCGGGGCTCTCTCTGCAGCCGCTGAGAGGCCTGTCAGCGGCTGGTCTTCTGGAAGCTCCCCACTCTTGTAGCGCCTAAACGAGGGGTAGCTCTGCGATGCTTGCATGAGCTCCATCGCCGCGGATGCTTATGTTAAAAGATGTCAGAAACAAAATCGAGCGTCCACGTGTTATTCAGTTGCTTCTACCCGAGTAACTACTCCGTACCAAGTCCTGCCTGACATCTTCCCTGCACCGACCGGGGTATGCTCCAACATAATCGTCATCGAAAAATACATAGAGGACGAGAAAGCCAAGACCCTAGCAGCCCGCCCCTTACTAAACTACTTGCCTCCCGAGCCGCCCACCTTCTGCTTGTCATCCACCAAGCTATCAGCCATGGCGTCCGCCGTCGCCTTTCTAAGCGCATCGTCGTCCTTGTCCTCCAACTTGATCTCCTTCTTGTCCTTGACATCCCTCTCGTCGTCGCTGTCCCCGAGACTAAACGGGTCGTTCTCCGCGATCGGGCTTGGTTCGACGGCCGATAGCGGCTGCCACTTGCTAGCTTTGCCGCCCGATCCCGGTGCCGGCGATGCGTCCTTGGGTGTCAGCTTGGGCGACGCCTCGTAAGCGTTGATGTCTTCGACCGTCTCGGCAAATGCTACCCTTCTTCCGTCATTCGGCTTGGGAGACTTGGACGGCGGCGGCGGCTTGAACAGGTTGGGGTTGCCATATTGACGGTTGTCGCGGACAGGGGCTGCGATGGTTAGCACACATCGTACGACAAAGCAAACTCGCACTTACTTCCGTCGCTGTTGAACTTCATCCCGGCAAAGTCGTCGCTGAGGAGCTCGGGATCGGCATCGTATCGATCATAATCCGCACTCCTCCGCGTTTGGTCTCGTGTTGGCCTTCCCATAAGCGGGTTGCTGCTCTGCCCGTGGCGCTCGTCATCCTCGTCAAATTGCTCCTCGACCTTCTTCTTGATATTGGTAAACCACGTGTTGAACTTGCTCTGAGTCTCGACAAAGCCCTTGCGCAGACTCTCCTTGATGACGGGGAGGTCATCGTCGAGGAAGCTATGCTCCCGATCATCGTAGAGTCTGTTTGGGTTGAGTCCCGTCTGCTGTCGACCACGGATTCCCGGACCTCGGTTGTTCGACGTCCGTTCCTCGTAGGCACCGACGTTCTCGTAGTGCTCTGCCAGTCGGCGGGCATACTCCTCGTCCGCTTCCAGCTGTGATCGGGCCGTCGAGGTCGGACCCACAGGCTCGGCTACCGGTCTCGGAGGGGGCGGCGGCGGTAGGTCCTTTTGCGCAGCATCGGGGTCCGTCATTTCCAGCAGCGCATTAAAAGCTGGCTCGACCCGTCCGCCGCTCGCCGTGAGGACGGCCTTGATGACGGCAGGATCCAAAGTGGGGAAGGCTTCTTTTAGGATCTGCTGGTTCTTCTGTGCCTCGGTCATGGGACGGGGTGGTTTTGGCGGAGCGGCTTCTTCGGATGCCGTTGCAGGTGTGGTGGTGGCCGTCTTGGGAGCAGAGGCGTCATCGGCTCCCACGACGCCGGTGTCCTGGATATCGTCGTCGTCCATCTCGAGGGGTCTTGCTGTCGTTGGCGATTCGGGCGCGGGTGTGTCTGCTAGAGATAATTTACCCTGGTGGCTGGTTAGAAGAACAGCTGAACGGGAAATGGCTGCGAATGAGTTTGAGACTGCGTTTGGGGTTCTAGGGTTCGGGTAATTGGAGTGGAGGGGTTGGACTAGAGCTGGGGAGTCGCGGTGCTTACAGCGGCGTCAGCAGGCGCAGACATCTTGTCGGCCGGTCAATTTGCGTTGCAGGACAGTATCAGCGGCGGGACAGTTATGCGGTTGTTGCAAGACAGAACGGCAAGGCTATGGAAATGAACAAGGGGTTTAATGTCGCCTTGGGATCGAGCTACTGGTGCTGCATTACGTCGCCTCCAGGCATGCCACTAAGCCACACCCGTGCTAATCGATAAACTTACCCCGCAGCCGCGTCCTCTTGTGATCACGTTCGCCGCCTTAGATATCTGGCATAAACTTTAGTGGCACAGAATATGAGTTAGCTAGACGATAGAGCGAGCCCTTGATGCATTTGATTTAGTGGCGTAGAAATAGAGGCGTAACAGTTCTTGTAGCAGCATCTCCAAACCCCTGCTGTGCCCCTCGCAGGCATGTCGTCATTAGTTCGGCAGTCAGAGCCGTTGAGTGTCTCAGTCTTGTGCAAAGGCTCATAACGCTCGGGAAGCAATGTCGGTGGCTTCAGTAGCGCTTTTGATGTCGCCCCCAGCCATACAGATTCGAGTACAAAAGCTAGTATTGGCGTCGCCGTAGCATCAGCGGGCAGTGGATCTGGGATTCCCACCTTCTGTCGACTCCTCCGTGGCGCAATTGGCTAGCGCGTCAGACTGTTAAGTGATCCCCCGGTGTCGACTCTATATCGACACCGGACAAGATCTCAGATCATCTGGAGGCTGTAAGTTCAATCCTTACCGGAGGAGAGTTGCTTCATGAGTTATTTTTTGCTTTTCCGGTTCTTGAAAAGTGGATACCTTTCAGACCCCAAAGCTCGAATGGTGAAATCTGGATAGCAGTTGGACCAGCGTTGCTGTGTAGCTGGAGGGATTGTGAGATCGAAATAGACTCCAGGACTGGAAGATGGGCTGGACTGGCGAACATCCAGGAGTGAAATGCAAGGCTGATTCAAAGCGAGGCTGAGCGAAAGGGGGCAGGTAAACAACGTCAGCCAGCCAAACATGTCGACGCGGGCCCGGCCGCCACCACCTAACGCTTTACGATGAACTCCCGCCCTGTGTGTACCGTCTGCTTCTCTCATCGGGTTCCCCACCTAGAGTGAAAGCCGACAGCAAGTGTTTTAGGGTGCAGCTATTTTTTTATTTTTTTTTCGGTGCCAAACCGGGTGGAAGCAGAGAGTGGAGAATGTTGAGGTCTGGCATCATGGCGGCTGTCGGATCCTGCAACTTCGAAGCAATCCCAAAAAGATAATCGATCTGGATGGACAGGAAGCTTTGGCAAGACACACAAAAAAAACAGCATTTCATGAATACGTTAAAAGTTTAAAAAAATCAATGGACTCCTCCGGTAAGGATCGAACTTACAGCCTCCAGATTAACAGTCTGACGCGCTAGCCAATTGCGCCACGGAGGATTACCGATTGCGGTTAGTATCGGGATAGCTTCCAGATGCCTATGATTGGCTGCCAAAGGCTGAGGCTTTGACTGCTGGCACTTACGAGCTAAGAACATGGCAACTGCGATTTCACAGATCCTCCTGTCCGTTTTCTCCCACTTTCTATGCAGACGGACGTATCCCAACCCCGGCAGCACTTCTTTCGATATCTTCCAATACCCATGTCACGGCTTCCACCTGCTTTGACGCGCATCATTTCCGTTGACCGCTGAGACATCTACTTCAACCAAATCACCACAAAAGCCTCCTGGTCGAATCTCACCACCCATCTAACCCCTGGCCGCGCCTCCGGACTCGTGGATGCACACTACCTACCTAGAGCATGGCGCAGTGAAGCTACAGATACGTACGTGGGCAAGTGGGTCAATCAGAAAACACACGGTATTAGCCCCGCTGACAACCGAGCAAAGTCTGTCTCTTGGAACTGTGACCACTCTTCAAACTCCCACTCGTCAACATCATACATGACAAGATGGGTTATGTACAAGTATACCCTTTGGACCGTCAACTTCGGTAACTACAGCTCCATTTTTTCTACTTGAACTGCGAAAAGAACTCCCACGTGTATGCGTCCGAAAAGGTATGCGATGCCCCGGGGTCCTTGGGGCTAGGGGTATGGTCACTATCAACACAAGTTAGCAGAAACCACTACACGAGGAACAGAGTGTCGTACCCATCAAAAGCAACAAACGTCGTCGGATACTTGCAATCATCATACACGGTCTTGATGTGCGGCTCCCCTCTGCCCGGCTCCTTAGCCTCTTTAGGAGTGCACCCGTTGTTCTTGATGAAGCGGTCGCGCATCTGTCTGCCTCCGGCAATAGGGAGGACCTGGTCGCGCGTCCCGTGCTGCGAGTACCAAGCCACCGGGTCGGTGCCGGGGCTGGGGCAGGTACCGCTGATCTGCGGACTGCCCGAGAGGACGGCGACGGCGCGGAGATCCTTGCCCAGAGCACAAGCAAGAATAAACGACATGGCGGCGCCGTGGCTGAAGCCGGTCGAGAAGCGCAGGTTCTGGTCGATGCACAGGTCGGCCTCGAGCGTGCTGATGAGGTCTTTCACCAAAACCACGTCGCTACCGTTGTTGTTCCACCAGCCGACGCCGATCGAGCCGCTGGTGCCCGTCGGGGCCACGTAGATGGCGCCGATGGTGTCGTTGATCAGCGGCGGCAGGCCGTAGTAGGCGTTGGCGCCGCTGGAGATCTGCTGGCCGCTGCCGCCGACCGGGTGCATGGTGAAGATCAGCCGGTACGGGTGGCTGTTGTCGTAGTTGGCCGGGAGCTTGACAAAGTACTGGCGCGCCTTCCCGCCGGAGGTGATGCTCAGCCCCGGAGCCGATGCCGCGGCCGCCGTCACTATCTTGGGCGCCTTTCCGCATCCTGACGATGGCTTTGCGCCCAAGATGGGCTGCGCAGCACCGAGCAGGAGCAGGAGCAGGCCTGCGCTGAGAGTGTTGGACAACATGGTGGCGGATGGATCACAGTCGTAGTGGGTTTGGTGTTGTCGTCCTAACGCGCCACATCACCAACCTGCTCGGTCTACTTATACACGTCCATATCATATCTACATACAGCTAACCCCTCTACGGACTCCGTCTCGGTATCTGGACACGGCTACTATTCCGGAGCGCGGTGTCCGTCCCGATATAAGCTACCGATAGACGCCGGTCCCCACCCCTAACTACGGCTACGCAGCTTCGTAGTACGAAGCTACCTTACCTAAAGCAAGTAATTAGGGGGAATTAAAGCGTAGAATGACAGGTTAAGCGCGCCAACGGCAGATGTCCTGATGCTTTAGCCGACGCCAGATTTGGGCTGGAATCCCAGCGCCAAGGGGGGTTCCGGGTATGCTGGAGCTATAATGACAGTCACATATTTGCTGCTAATTTCTCATGTCCTTATGGCCGAGCATACGGACCGAGATATTTGTTGGAGTTGGTTTACCTGGAGCTTGGGTCTCGACGGCAGCCTATTTGGGCCGTCAGGATCCAAGGTGGCTGGTACTTACTGGTGGGCTGCGTCTCACCGTGAAAGAGATACAGAGCATCAAGATACCTAGAAGTGGTCGCGCCTCATGGCATTTATCACAGGGAAGCATCGACTTGCATTGCGAAGATGTCTTCTTCGCCTCGCCCCGCGCACGGAACGATGGAGATGAAAAGGAAAAAGGGTGAATTGCGAAACGCGAGTTGGGTTCGAAAAATTCCCCAGCCAGCCTAGGCCAACTGGGAGCGGTCAAGTTATAGTTTTCAACTAGCAAAAACGTGATCTCGGACGAATCCTCACTGATACACGTAAAACCCCTGCACTTGGATGTTGGATGTTAGACATCCTGAGAAGAAAAGAAAAGGAAGAGGAAACCGGGGGTGCGAGCGAAGAACTTATAGGCAGGGCTGGTGGTTTGTGCACGATCGTAAATTTGCGATCACAGTTGTTGGACTTTCCGATCACCACTATAAACAGCGCAACAGCGCGCAGGCCGCGTTCAGGGTGCAGAAGGCCACTGTAACCTTATGCGAGAAACGTATGTTCCAGCTACTTCCGACCTCGATTACGTACCGACTTCGATAGCAAGGGTCTGGCATGTGGTAGGAAGTGTCACGACCGTACTCTCGTGGTCGGTTCCGCACGTGACTGATCGGAAAGTCCAGCACAGACATGCCCCACCACAGACGATAAGCAGCAGTGACGTCTTGTTTCACGCATGCAACCACGCGCGGAAGCGGAACACAGTTCGAGTCAAAGTCAACGACGACTTCCCCGTGGTTCCCGACAAGCGACTTTCCAAACCCGCCCAAAAAATCACCACCCACACAAAAAAAGATACTTATCGCGAACCACCGATGGGATGGGAAACTCCACGAGCCGCGTGACGGCACAAGACAAGTACGTCGTCCGCACCTATCCGTACCCCTCCGTCCTTCCGAATTCCAAGCCATCCCTCAGTCACCAGCTTATCTATGTATGGGAATCATCACTAACAAATATTCAAAAATAAACCAGAGCAATCCTCGACCTAAAAACCCAACGCGACAAGCTCCACCAGTACCAACGCCGCATCTCCATCCTGACCGACAAGGAGACCCAGATCGCGCGCCAGATGCTCGCGCAGGACGACAAGCCGCGCGCCCTCCTCGCCCTCCGCCGCAAGAAGTACCAGGAATCCCTCCTCGCCAAGACGGACGCGCAGCTCGAGCAGCTCGAGCGCCTCACGTCGAGCGTCGAGTTCGCGCTCATCCAAAAGGACGTCGTCTTCGGCCTGCAGCAGGGCACGCGCGTGCTCGCCGAGATCCACGCCGAGATGGGCGGCATCGAGCACGTCGAGAAGCTGATGGGCGATACGGCCGATGCTATCGCCTACCAAAAGGTTTGTGTGGTTTTTTGTTTCCCCATCAAAATGTTTAGTACTAGGAATGAGATTGGGAAAAGCTGACAGAGAGATTACCATGACAAAAAGGAAGTCAGTGAGATGCTCGGTGGACGGATATCTAACCAAGACGAGGAGGAGGTGGAAGACGAGCTCGCCGCTCTCGAGGCCGAGGTCGCTGGGAAATCACAAATACAGCAGCCCTTACCAAGCGTGCCCAACACGAATCTACCAGCGCACGAGGTCGAGCCCGAACCCGAACCGTCAAGACAGACAGACCAGAGGCAGGCCATGTTGGCATAACGTGATTGGATACATCCATACAGAAACTATCATACAGAGGGCGCAGGCGAAACTAGCATGCTGTGCCCTAGAGGCGTTTGCATCGACATGGGGCTGGGCTGGACTGTTGGTAATGAGATACCCGATTTTCACTGCCTTGGCTCGTCTATCTATGTGAAGTGTGACGTGTAGCCCTCGAATGTCCATTCCGTGCAGCGCCCCAGCCGAAATCAAAACGTCTCTCCCAAAACATGCATAGGGTATTCCGTCCATGTAAATGCTACAATACCGTTGCATCCCAACTCCGTTCGATGCAAGCAGACAAACCAACACCACGGCATAGCAGATGCTAACACACCCTAAAATCCATATTCACCTCCAGTAAAACGCTATGCCGCTAATAAGCCCATGATCAACCGTAATAACTCTTCATCTATAAGCAGGCCCCTGGTGGCTGGGATCGTGATACGTTCCCGGCGGCGGATCGTGATACGTTCCGGGGGGTGGATCGTGATACGCCTCAGGCGGCGGGGGCGCAAAATAATGCCTGGGAGCGCCAGGTCCTGGATCGGGGAGGTGGGCCTGGGAATGATCATCGAAGACGCGGACTTCGCGACTGCATCTTGTCAGTTTCATGCCAGGC